ATAATAGCTTTGTTTATCTATTAACATAAACCATGCTGTGATAAGTTCTTTGAACCTGCACTTCATTCTAGCAACATTCCATTTCTCTGTTTCCCTTCAGAATACTATTTCTAGGGAGAGTTGACTGCACTCATTATATTCACAGTTTTTACTCACTTTCTTCCACCAGTTGTCTGCCAGTTTGTTGTACTGTGGAAGCTTTTGTGATGCTGGAAGCTATGCCACTGGTAGTTCAGATACCAATGGGGTCACTCATGTTGGATTTGTTTCAGCAGTGCTTCCAGACTAAGACAGACTAGGAAGGAGAGGTGGATCATATCTGATTGGTCAGCCACTGAAAACCTTATGAATAGCAGCTGAATTTTGTCTGATGTATCAGAAGATAAGCCCCTCAGCATACAAGTTGGGGAAGAGCTACCTTCTCAAAATAGTGTTTACCTTGGTGACATAGATGGAGTAAAACGAGAAGGAACAGCTGCAAATATTCATTAAAACTCAGAACATAGAATGTATGATGTATGAATCTAGAAGTAGAAGTGGCCAAAAATGCATAAAGATAGATATCATAGACATTAGTGAGCTGGAATTGACTGGTATTGGCCATTTTGAATCAGACAATCATGTTGTACTATGTTGGGAATGACAAATTGAAGAGAAATGGCAACACATTTATGGTCAAAAGAGCGTTTCAAGATTAATGCTGTCTTTGATGTTATATAAGACTATTATTCAAATTCAGGCACTAACCACTAAAGCCAATGATGAAGAAATTGAAGAATCTTAACATGCAATCAAAATGCACTAATCATTACTGGTGATTGGAATGAAGAAATGATACTGGAGATCATATGATAAAGTTTTGCAAGACCAACAACCTATTCATTGCAATACTTTTTTTATAACCTCGTAATTGGTGGCTATATACATGGAATTCACCAGATGGAAAACACAGGAATCAAACTGACTAAATATGTGGGATGATACGAAGCAGAGAAAACAGGACCAGGGACCAACTGTGAAATAGACCATCAACTGCTAATATGCAAGGTCCATCTGAAGCTGTAGAAAATAAAACAAGTCCATGAGAGTCAAAATAAGACCTTGAATATACCTGAAGGCCAGAAGAGTTGTGGGATCATAACAAAACATCATACATGAAGAAAGCAAAAGGTCATTAACAAGACAGGAAAGAAAGAAAAAAAAACAAATGGATGTTAGAAAAAACTCTACAATGTGCTATAGTGAATTTAATTGTGTCCCTCCCAAATATGTGTCAGCTTGGCTGGGCCAAATTCTTAGTGGTATGACAGTTATGTGATGATTCCAATGATATGATTTGATGTGATAAAAAGACAGTTAAGGTGGGATTTGTTGTTGTTGGTGGTTGTGTGCCACCACGTCGGTTCTGATTCACAATGAACCTGTAGGATGTTCAAGGCTGAAAGGCTCCAAATTTTTACAGGAGCAGAAAGTCTCATCTTTCTCCTGTGGAACGACTAGTAGATTCAAACTACTGACCTTGTGGTTAGCCAACTATGCTACCAGGACTCCTTAAGGGTGGGATTGTTGTTGTTGTTGTTAAGTGCCATCGAGTTGGTTCTGACCCATAGCAAACCTGTATAGCATTTCCGAGGAGCAGCTGGTGAGCTTGAACCACTGACCCTGCAGTTCAAATGACTTAGTCTGGCACATTAACTCACAGCACCACATATTCATCATTAATCCCATCATGATCCTGATCCAATGTAAAGGAAATTCCCAGGGTTGTGGCATGCAACACATTTTATCTTACAAGAGATGAAAGAAGAAGCAGAATTGGAATATATCCTTTGGACCGGGGGGTCTCTGCATTGTGAAGCTCCTAGATCCAGGGAAAGATACATGGAGAATGATTGACCTATAGATGCTGAAAGGACACAAGGACCTTTTCAAGAGCTAGTGCTCTGGATTCAGACTTCTAGCTTCCCAAACTGCGAGAGAACCATAGCATTTGTTGAGCTGAAAGAATTGAAGAAAAAATTCAAGCCTCTCCTTGAAATACTGAAGGATTCGATGAGGAAATTATTGAATGATGCAGGAAGCATCAAAAGAAGATGGAAGGAACATACTGAGTCACTATATCAAAAAGAACTGGTCAATATTGAGTCATTCCAAAAGGTAGCATATGATCAAGAACTGATGGTACTGAAGAAAATTGAGGCTCCAGAAATTGATGGAATAAAAATTAAAATGTTTCAACAAACAAATTCATTACTAGAGATGCTCACTAGTCTATGTCAAGAAACTTAAAAGAACTTCCTTGAAAAAAAAAAAAGAAACTTGGAAGATCCCTACCTGGCCAACCAATTGAAAGAGATCCATATTTGTGGCCAGCCCAAAGAGAGGTAACTCAATGGAATGTGGAAATCATTGGACAATATCATTAATACCACATGTAAGTAAAAGTTTCCTAAAGCTTATTAAAAAATAGTTGCAATAGTATATTGACAGGAACTGCAAGAGTTCCAAGCCAAATTGAGAAGAGGACATGGAATGAGGGATATCACTGCTGATGTCAGATGGGTCTTGGCTGAAAAGCAGAGAATACCAGAAAGATGTTTACCTGTGCTTTATTGACTATATCAAAAGCTTTCGAATGTGTGGATCATGACAAACTATGAATAACATTGTAAAGAATGTTAATTCCAGAACACTTAACTGTGCTCATGAGGAACCTGTACATATACAGACTAAGAGGCAGTTGTTAGAACAGAACAAGAGAACAGTGAATGGCTTTAAATCAGGAAAGGTATGTATTAGGGCTGTATCCTTTCACCATAATTATTCAATCTGTATGCTAAGCAAATAATATAAGAAGCTGAATTATATGAAGAATGTGGTATCAGGATTGGAGGGAAGACTCACTATCAACCTACCATATGTAGATGATACAACCTTGCTTGCAGGAAGTGAAGAGAACTTGAAATATTTACTGATGAAGTTCAAAGACTATAAACTACCTTCAGTATGGATTGCACCTCAGTGTAAAGAAAACAAAAATCCTCATAAATGGACCAATGAAAAACATCATATACATGGATATAAACTTCATTTTGCTTGGATTCACAGTTAATTCTCATGGGAACATCTGTCAAGAACTCAAAGGATGTATTGCATGAGGCAAATCTGCTGCGATGTACCTCTTTACAGTGTTCAAGAGCAAAGATGTCAATTTGAGGACTAAAATGAACTTCACTCAAGGCATGGTATTTTCAATCACCTCATGTGTACGTGAAAATTGCACAATGTATAAGGAAGACCAGAAAAGAATTAATAGTACCATGGACTGCCAGAACACACAAATCTGTCTTGGAAGAAGGACAGTCAAAATGCTTCTTAGAAGTGAGAATGGCCAGACTTCATCTCTCATATTTTGGACGTGGACCAGTCCATGGAGAAGGAAATCATGCTTGGTAAAGATGAGATTCAGCGAAAGTGAGGAAGACTCCCCAGTGAGATTGACTGATACAGTGGCAGCAACAATGGGCTAAACCATACAATTGTGAGGATGGCACAGGACGGAGCAGTGCTTTGTTCTGTTGGGGGTAGTGTCACTGATTCAGAATTGATTTGACAGAACCTAACAACAACAAACTTTGAGAAAGAGCTCTGATGGTGTTGTGGTTTGTGCGTTCAAATCCACCAGCCACTCCCAAGAGGAAGAGGAGGCTTTCTGCTTTTGTAAAGATTTATAGCCTCGGAAACCCTACATAGGGTCACTACGAGTCAGAGTCAACTCAGTGGTGATGGGAAAACTGTGAGAAAATACATTTCTATTCATTAAAGCCAATCATTTGTGGTGTTTTTGTTACAGCAGCACTAAGAACCTACTCCTGTAGTTTCTTCTCCCAAAAATGTTCATTATGAAATATAATTCCAGAATTAAGTTAATGGGGAGTACATTTGGGAAGGTGAATGTTATTATATGTAATTTACACCTCAATAAAAAATAAGTCACTCTGCCTAGTAATTTCCCGTTTTTAAAAAATCTAATTTAAGATATGTTAAAATTAGACCAGTTTATTAACTCTGCCTCTGAATCTTTTATTCCATTATACTCTTGCCTGGTATTAGCTTCTCTTCCTTAAGTTGGTTTTCTCTTTCAGCAAAACTATTCTTCTAAGCTATGCTTTCCTTCCTGCCTTGCTTCGTCAGCAAATCTACATAATGTTCAAACCCAACAAATCACTAGTTTTCTTGATTCCTTATCCCCATCACTTTAAATCTCAACGAGTCTCTATTTTGCCTCTCCCTCCATCTTCATGCCACCATTCCAATCAAAATTACTATGATCTCTTCTGATCCACTTGAATCCCTTTAATGTGTTTAGTATTTATCAAAGTGAAACACACAGTAAAAAAGCACACCTCATAATGTCATTTTCTCATGTGAACCTTCAAATGGATCTCTATTGTATTTAGGCAGAAGAGACTCATACAATAACGCACCTACCCTTCTTTCTGTCCTTGGGTTCTGTATTTCAGTTGCAAAGAATTCAGGCCTTTAAACACACAACATATGCTATTCTTGTAAGATGACTGTTTTTCTAGCTAATTCAGGCATTCAACATTCAGCTTAAGGATCACTTCTTGAAGAAAGCTGGCCTTCCCTGTCACGTGCACTCAGCATCATCCCTTGTGTAACTGCATACTTTATTCCTTGACCATCATCTGGATTCTTTTACCATGGTAAACTATGCCATGTGAGCAGGACCATGTTTGTCTGTTTCACCTCTATTGTATCCCCATCCTACACACTAAATGCTCACTGCTATTGTTGTTAAGTGCCATAGAGTCGGTTAAGACCCATGGCGACCCTGTATAGGATTTTCGAGGTACAGCTGGTGAGCGTGAACTGTCGACCTTGTGATTCAAACCAACCTTTTCCAGCACATTAACCTTTAGCACCACACCAGGACTCCAAGTGCTCAGTACACCTATGGGTGAGCTAGTATTTTGTACCTGGTAAGTCTCGATGGGGCGGTTTTCCATGTTGAGATCCCAGACTTTAACAGTCAGATAGTCCCTGGTCATGATATACCTCCCGCTGTGGCTGAACTTCACATCCGAAATCGAAGAGATGATTTCAGAGAAAAATGACCTGTTGCTTGGATCTTCCGGCTCTTCAAAAACTGTAGAATAAAAGCAAAAGGTAAATTCAGTAGTCCTTATCAAATGACTATCATGTTTGGAACAGTATTTTTAGTCACTAAGAGAGCACCATCAGCTCTCTGGAAGCAGGAAAAGCTGCCACTGATTTTTGTATTTTCTTTCCCATGGAAGGACTAGCCTAGACCTCTCCATCCATAGGTTTGACACTGGCTATAATTATGCATCTAACTCTGTTTCATATTTCTCCAGATCTCTGGGTGTCATTGCAT